ATTCCAGTGAAATATATTTATGTTTGTGGTTGTAATGTGACAAAATATGGAAAAGTTCAAGGGGTATGAATACTTTTGCAAACCACTGTACATAACAGTAACAGAATAGCTCCTTTATATAAAAAAATGGAGCTCTAACCATTACTAAAGAGAGCCTGGGTGTATGAAAATTGCCCAGTGGCTTCAGCAGGTGTGTGGGAGATATCTTCGGTGCTCATGGTGTTTACTGGTATTGTATTTTGTTGTTCTTCTGCCAGCAAAGGAGTTGTTTGGGTATGGATAATTTGCAGCGTTTTGGTGGACAGAATGGTRGGCCGTTGTGTGAGAATACATTGGACCTCTTGGCTCATATGGCATGTAGTGGGGTGGTTGTGCAGGAGTATGAATGACCTGTCTCAGAAGAGAACACCCATCAACAATCRATGTGGTAAGTTTATTCAGTGTATTGGCCATTTTAGAATAGTTTTCAGCTAACTTTTTTTCTGATGTCTCAATGATTTCCACCAGTCTCTTCTTTACACGCAGGTCTTCCTCAAGAGCATTTAGCCACTGGGTCTCAGCAGGCAGCTTTCTCTTCAGCCGGTCGTGCCTGTGTCCTTTCAGTTTTGCCTTAAAAAGAGAAAAGAAAAACATTGCAATTAAACTTACAAAAGTAATCCTATCTCATGTCAGATGTTTTAGTTTTTCACATCACCTCTACATATTAATAGCAGAAGATCCAATATTTGCAATATATGTCTTAACAGTGTATTTTGTGTCCACCACAACAAATTAATAAATATTCAGGCCTAATATGAGAAGAGTACGTAATGGTGTGATTTGTTCTTTACATTAATTTAAAAAAACTGCAACCTTTATACAGTAAAATATAAAAAAATCTCATCCTGCCTCCACTAGACACATCGATTATTGCATCTTTTCTAACACAAGCATTGCCTTAACKTTTTTATAATAATAGCAAGACTACAACTCAAACCTATTCTGTGAATTACAGTACATCAAACAACTGAACATTTATTGCTAAGGACCTTTCATTTATGAGGAATGGATCTTACAAATGTACGTACATTAAGCAGGTCTCTCCTCTGCTTTGATGTTGGATCCACACTGCTTTCATTATCAGATCCTGTGTCTGCTACATCCATGGTGGAGGAAGAAGACGTGGACGGCGAGGGTAGGGACAGGGAAAGATCCAGATCTTCTGTTTCGATTCCCGACGGCAAGGTAGTAGTAGCTGGAGAACCGCCCCAAATTTGTTCACACAGTTCAAAGTAAAGAAGAACCACTCGACCGTGTCCACTCCTGCGTCCTGTATCAACAGCCTGGCGATATTTCCCTCGGACTGCTGTCATTTGTTGTTGTTAAATTCCCCAGCGATTTCGGTTTTTGAATGGGGAAACTCATCTGAGGACTCCATTGGGTAATGCTCTAAAAAATGTCAACGTACTTGCTCTGACGTGATTCCCAATCAATACTGTCTTCCGTTTTACTAACTTTGTATTCCAACATGGTACTTAAAAGTAGTTCAACCTCGCGGTCTGTCCACACAAACGAACCTCCAGGCGCCATGATCAAAACAGGAAGCTGTGGTCGTTTTGGAGGATTTTGATTGGCTGACATACGTTTAATCTTTGCACTGCATTGTCCCCTATGGGTTGGGCATGTTTTTTACAAGGCTCAGTGGTGAAATTCAGCAGGTTCACGTGGACGCAGATATTTTTTTGGCGGACATATTCAGTTTTTAAAGGCCTGGCTACGTGTGTACAAGGCTTGAGATGTTAAAAATGCCAGAACAGAAAAGTGAAAGTCATTTATATTTTGACCATAAAAAAGCACAATAAAAATAACAAACACATAACATCTATGACAAAAATGTAAAAAACTGGATGAAGTAACTGCCTGCAATCGCAGAAAATATCACAACTCCTGACACTTTTCTATTTTATATTTAGGAAGCAGATTTAGGATTGAATTAAATAATTTCTCAATCTTGTGAGCTTTTAATAAAAAAACATAAATAGTGCTTTTTAACATCGATAAAAACCTTTATCATGAACTTATAAAACACAGAAAACCACTGCTGACACATTTCCTTCAATGTGAAGACTTGAGGTCAGCATGAACACAGAAGCCTATACAGCAGACTGAAACATACTGGAAGTTACACAAGTACTGAGACATGAAGGGCTGTGGTTTAAAGCATCAATTGGACCTCTGTGCTTTGTCCTTGCCCTCCTTGTCTACATCTTCCACTAACATCCACACCACCTTTTTTATTTTCATAAAATAGCACAACCTTTTTTGGAAAGAAAAGATTTCAAAAGGTGTTTAAATTAAATATCAGGTAGATATTGTGCTTCTGTAAAAAGAGCAAACTGAACTCCCTGACATTCATTGGTTTCCAATCTTAGATCTTTTCCCTTGGGAAAGTTACTGAATGTGAGTCCAGAGTGAGAAGGTCAGTGGCGGTATCAAATTCTTGACATAGAGTGAATTCTTAGCATATCTCATGAGTTTAAATTCCTTGATTGTCAAAGTTGTGAGCAAACAGTGGCTTCTAAATGTGGTGCATTTGTCAAAACTGCAGAGCAACAAAACTGGGACCAAGGAGCTGATTTTCCTGGAACAGCTGGAAACAAGTGGTTTGGAAAAACGAAGGCTGAAAACCTTCTGTCACTGTACTGCTGAGCATGACACTTAGATCTCCATCCATCCTTCCATCCATCCATCCATCCATCCATCCATCCATCCATCCATCCATCCATCCATCCATCCATCCATCCTAAATACTGCACAAACTTTTTCACACTTTGACACAACATTGTGATTTTCCAAACCATTAACTCAGGAGAAACTTAACATATCAGTATGTCTGCTTAGTCAACAAAAAATAAATAAACTGAATATAGCAGAAGAAGAAGTAAAGCGTTGGTGATGTCAGTGATATTATGTCATTAATCCACAAGCTCGGTTCCAGTGTTCCGTGTGCCAAACAGCCACGTGGAGTCACTCTGAACGATGTTCACGGGCAAATAAGATGTGTGTGTGTTGGTTTAAATTAAACTATTTCATCGATTCTGCATCCAACATAAGAAGTTAAAGACAAAAACACATAATATGCTAAATCAAAAGGTTTATTCTGCTAAGTTCAAAAGAGGTCTAAAGTGTTACAAGCAACCCAAAGCTGGAGGAGAGGGATGAAGAACAGAGGATTTCCAAAAACAGGTCCAAGGAGACTCACTGACTTGTCTCCCAAAGAGATGTCCTGGCACGCCGATGATCACAGACGGCCTTCAAACGTTAAGTGAATGGGAATAGAAGCGGGAGACGAGTGAGGGCGAAGCACAACAAGATCGCTGGACCAGAGCAGAGCGAGTGGTGCTGGCAGGGCTGGTGTATTGTTCTGTTGGCTGAGCAGGAGGCTATTATGACCCGGGCCAACAGCAAGCCACGCGCTCCTCACCGAGGCCTGCATGAATTATTACATTTTATTCTGTTATCTTTCATCATGCTTCATTACAGGCAAACAATCGGGCTTACAGAGGAGCACCATGTCTAGGGGTCCCCACAGATGCCCTYGGAGAGAGAGAATCCATATACTCTCCAAAGAAAAGCATAGAGGAAAATGGACAAAAAACACATTGTCTGTTGATTTAAAAGGAGGCTTACGGTTGTGATGAAAAAAAGAATGTCCTTTAAGAAGAGGAGAAGAATGAATCTTTCTGCTGAGGCACACTTAATGCTAGTGGAGCCACGGTAAAGAAATAGGAACTGAAAGGTCCAGGATCTGAGGCAAAATGACACTGAAGTGTTTTCAAAATTACTGACAGCAGCACAATACACCAAAACAATCTGCCTATGGATGCATGAAAAGACAGACTGAAAAAATGTAACAAAATACAAACAGAAATACAGTCCATTCATAGAAGACACGTCTAAACTGACAGCCATGAAAATGGACATGAAAGACAAAGTTTAGTTCTAATAAATGAACCAAACAAGGACGAAATTGTAAATAATTTGTAAGACAATAAAGTACTTTGGGTTTAGGAGCACAAGTGCAAAATTATGTAAATTACCATTCTTGTCACGATAACAGATTTTGCTGGACAATAAATTATTTCAGAAATTATTGCGATAAACAAAAACTTTGTTTGGAGACTATTTTAATTTATCACGTGATTAATTCATTTATTGCCACAGGATTTGTAGTATTACCTTAACAACACACAAAAACTATCCGAGACAGACAATTGAAGTAGTGCTTCAGTTGTAGTGACCAAGACGTTTTGAAATTCTCCGATCCACTGAAAGCTGCACACAAATCTGTCAAACTGAGTGACGAATCTCTGGGCGAAGAAGACATAACAAACCAAGTGTGAATTTGTTTAATTGCTGTCCTTCTCCAAGTAAGTGTTTTCTTGTGTGTCTGTTTACACGTGCACAGTCTTAAATTGCGTGTGCCTGCCGAGAGGTGAGTATCAGAACACACTCTTCTTGTCACTTGCTGTTCGCTGCATAACACAGACATTTTCCATTCTGTCAGCACGAGCAGCGAGCACACTGGCTCCTTCTAAACTCAGCCGCCACTTCATTAAATGACTTCAGACTCTTGGCAGAGACGGAGGGAAAAGTCTATATTAACTGAGTGTGAGATCCACGGGGTGACCAACAAAGGCCATAGTTGTTCCTCTACATCGGCTGCTGCGTAGGGAAATTTCGGGGTCTATATGTGTACCCCTCCACTGGGCTCTCTGCCCTGTTTGTCCCACACATGCTCTTGATTCCTATTATCCACCATCTCGTCACAGACCTCACATACGTTCACAATGATGCACATAATCGCACAAAGATGCACACAGAATAACGTAACGTTGCATTGACCTTTGCCCTACTTTCCAGTAAATGGTTTTGGACATGCAGCTTCTTCTAAATTCATAAGTACGAGAACCAGAACAAGCCACAGTGAGTAATAAAATGTATTTGTGTGTTGTCAGGACATGGTTTCAACATCATAAGGTTTCTGCTAAATTGAGCCAAGTTGAAGGTTTCATRAGGGAGTGGGAAAGTAGACGAGTGTTTAGACTGGAGAACTGAGAAAAGAGTTGGTTTTGAGTCTAAAGTGACGGCAGGCTCATTTGTTTACAGGTATGGTGCGACCCAAGGACTAGGGGTGTAAGAAAATATCGATACACTGAAATATCGCAATATTTCATTTCCTGATACTGTATCGATATTCTAAAGTCCTGTATTAATGTTTAATTAAGGTTTAAAATGTCAACTTTCCTGCCAGCCGTTCATTTTTATGTAGTAGTTCAGCCTCTGACCACTAGTTGGCAGCAGTGAGCCAGCCATTTGGCTCCTCTACCTCTTGAGCACCAGAGAGTAAGGGTAGCATTAGCATTGTGAGGAAACATTAGCTTCATACTTCGACAGCTGAATCCGAGCAGAAAAGACCGACACCCTCTGCCTTCTAAGCTGAGGTAGGTTACAAACAGTTACTTGTTTGTCAGAATGTCTCTATTTTAAACCAAATGAAGTGTCTCGTGCGCTCTTTTTTTCCAACTTTAGTCAGCCTTCACGTTACAGAAGGCTAGCGCATGTCTATGTAATAGAATTTTCTGAGACAATGAATTTTGGTTTTTCTTTTTTTTTTTCCCAGTAAGGATTTTATTTAGAAGAATATTTGATCCAAAAAAAAAATCACAATATATCGCAAGATATCACCTTGCTGACAGTATCGCAATATATTGGGATATATCGTATCATGACCCGTCTGTCATGATATGTATCGTATTGCCAAATTCTTGCCAATACACAGCCCTACTAAGGACCAGGAGTAATTGAGAGCTGAATGAAACCACTAAAGAGTTGGAAAGGAGGTCAGAGCAGCCAACAGATTAGCCCAGAATTAATGGATTTATCAGGACTACAAAAGGCACTTTTAGATTTTTCTCAATCATCTACAAACTTCATAGAAAGCAAAGCATTTTCTACTGATGAAAACTATCAGCTTCTTAAAATAACGCTAACATGTTTTTGATGATAACAGCCAGTGGTGGGCACCAGTCCACTAAAGAGCAAATCCACTAATTGCGGACCTAAATATTTTGTTTGTGCGTTGGCGGTCTTACTAATTTTTATAATTCATACGCAGATTTGCGCTTTCTAAAATTAAAATGCAGTACCGCTAATAACTAATTATTTATCAGTCATCATTATCTTGAACAGTGGTTGGTATGGTTGTAAATGAATCACAACACACATGATCTATCCAACAGCACCCGTCCCAGATAAACACACATATTGGAAAGGTATACATCCTTGCTGACAGTTGTTCTCGGTCACAGTTCTCATTTCCCACAATGCTTTGTGTCTGCTTACGTAGCAGGAAGGCAATGTTTAGTACTCCCTTTCCCAGCAAAAACAGTAAACATTTGTATTGATTTATTTTACTTTAAAATCAGAGCTCCTTTTTTTAAAAAAAAAAAAAAAGAAGTTTAAACGCTGGAGCTCAATACTTGACGTAATTGGTCGAAGCAATCCGCCAACAGGGTTAAACAGACATCTAGTGGTCAAGTGGTGCAACTACATGGAAAACTTTCATTTCCCATCACAAATCAAATCCGTCACATATACCCAGTATGCAGCGCTTCAGTTTTCCAATAAACAGTTTTAAAATTACTTTATTGATGCTTCTTTAATGAAAAATCTACAACAAACAAAAGAAAAAGAAAAGAAGCAGCCGAACTAGCAATCTTAAACAACTTTTTAATTTTTACACCAGGAGCCAAAGTTCTGTTTCAGGAAATCAAATCCCCAGCAATCGACGGTTGTAGGATTAAGCTGTACAAGGTGTTGTACATACTGTATATTGTACAATTTTTGCCAGCTAGTAAGTGTCAAA